CCTCTCCCCCGCAGAAATCATTTAACAAAGACATTTCCTTGTTAATGATAACAAAACTTGTAGTACCCTGGTATTTTAAAATAATAATAAACTACTTGTCATAAATGCTGTGAAGTGCATACACTAGCTTATACAAAATGGCATCATACTAATAGGCACTGAGTTAACAAGAAGAAGCTATACGGAATGCTATACCAACCAGTTTTGAAGATGGAGAACAAAGTAGAAAGATTCACACTTCCTGATTTCAAAACGTACTACACAGCTACAGTAATCAAAAGTCTGATACTGATATAACATAGACCAATGGAATAGAAGGAACTCTGATGGTGTTGTGCCTAAGGCATTTGACTGCTAACCAATTGGCTGGCGGTTCAAACCCACCAGTCACTTCTCAGAAGGAAGATTGGGCAATCTTCTTCTGTAGAGATTCGCCTTGGAAATCCAAGGAGGGATCAATATGAGTCGAGACTGACTCAAAGCCAGTGAATTTGGTTGGGTTTGGGAATGAAATAGAATTGTGAGTCGAGAAATAAACCCACACATCTGTGCATCTGTGATCAACTGATTTTCAACAAGAGTGCTAAGCCCATTCAGTGGGAAAGGAAGAGTCTCTTTAATGAATGTTGATGTTGTTATGTGTCATCGAGTTGTCTCCGACTCATAGCTACCCCTCTTTGGCTTTCCGAGGAAGTATCCTGATGAAAGTAGATTTTCCTATCTTCCTTCCAAGGAGTGGCTGGTGGGTTTGAACTGCTAACCTTCTGGTTAGCAGTCAAATGCATTAGGCACTATGCCACCAGATCATAGTGCTTGGAAAATTGGATTTCCACATAGAGAAGAATGAATCAGGCTCCATGCCTCATACATACAGAAAAACCAATTCAAAATACGTCAAAGATCTTAATGTAAAACTATAATATTCTTAGAAGAAAACATAGAAATGTGTTCAAAATGGGGCCTAATTTTTAACAATGGATTATCAGATAGTATAACAAATGGGGCTTCATAAAAATTAAATTATGTTTTTTTGTCAAGGAACTTTCTCAAAAAGTGAAGAGACAGTGTATAGATTAGAGTATATCTTTGGAAACCATATATCTGGTAAGAGTCTAATATCCAAAATATTTATAAAACTTCTACAACGTAACAAAAAGATAAACAACCCAATTGAAAATGGGCAAAGGGCTTGAACAGACATTTCACCAGAGACCCAAAAAAACAAACCCACTACCATTGAGTAGATTCCACCCTATAGGTGAGAATAGAACTTCACCATAGGGCTTTGAAGGCTGAAACTCTTTACAGAAGTAGACTGTGTCATCTTTCTCCTGCATAGTGGCTGATGGGTTTGAACTGCTGACCTTTTCGTTAGCACCCAAATGTTCTAATGTTCTAACCACTCTGCCACTAGAGATCCTTTTACATAAAAGAAGATACTCAAATGACCAGTAAGCACATGAAAAAAAAAATGTTCAACATCATTAGCCATTCGAAAGTTGCAAATCAGAACCACAGTAAAATATCACTTCACTCGCATCTTAGGATGGCTGAGATTCAAAAGAAAAAGGGAAGCAACAAATATTGGCAAAGATACGGAGAAATTGGAATCATGCATTGTTGATGAGAGTGGAGAGTGGTGCGACCACTGTGGAAAACAGTTTGGTTGATCCTCAAAAGGTTAAACATAGAACTACCATATGGACTTCCACTCCTAGTTATATACCCAAGAAACCTGACACCAGCAGTGGAAACAGACACATGGACGCCAGTATTTGCTACGGCACTATTCACAATAGCTAAAAGGTGGAAACATCCTAAGTGTGCATCAAAGGATGAATGGATAAACAAAATATGATATATACATACAGTGCATTGCTACTCAGCCAGAAAGAAAAATGGATGAACCTCAAAAACCTTATGCTCAGTGAAATAAATAAATCACAAAAGGACAAAGATTTATGATCTCACTTAAATGAAATAATTAGAATAGACGTATGTATACAGACCATAGTTTATTAGTAGTTCCCAGGGGCAGAAGGGATGGAGAATGGGAGAGTTTTTTATCTAGTGTTTATTTATGGTTATGGGAAATTTGGCAACAGTTATGGGTGGTGGTTGCACATGATCAGTGTAATTGATATCATGAAATTGTACACCTGAAAAAATGTTGAATTGGACAAACATTGTGTTACTTATTTTACAACAGTAAATAAAGAATATTTAGGTAAAAAGGAGATATTAAAGGAATTCTTCATAGTAAAAATAAATAAAAAGAGCCAAGCCAAGAAATCCCCCACTTATCTGTTAGTTTATTATACTCTGGTGGCTTGCATGTTGCTGTGAGGCTGGAGGCTATGCCACCGGTATATCAAATACCAGCACGGTCACCCATGGTGGACAGGTTTCAGCAGAGCTTCCAGACTAAGACAGACTTGGTAGAAGGACAGGGGCATCCATTTCTCAAAGAATTGGCCAGTGAAACCTTATAATAGCAGTGAAATATTTATCTGATATATTGTTGTTGTGTGCCATCGAGTCGGCCCTGACTCATAGTGACCCCTCCTTGGGTTTCCGAGGCAGTATCACTACGGGGAGCTCTGGTAGCATAGTGGCTAAGACACTTGCCTGCTAACCAGACGGCTGGCGGTTCAAACCCACCAGCCACTCCTCGGAAGGAAGGTTGGGCAATCCTATTTCCGTAGTGATACTGCCTCAGAAACCCAAGGAGGGGTCGCTATGAGTCGGGTTTGACTCGACGGCACTTAACAACAACAACAATCACTACAGAAGTAGGATTGCCCAACCTTCCTTCCGAGGAGTGGCTGGTGGGTTTGAACCGCCAGCCTTCTGGTTAGCAGTCAAGTGCTTTAACCACTATGCTACCAGAGCTCCTTTATCTGATATATTACTGTAAAAGTTTAGCAATAGCCCTGAAACATTGTCTGATAATAGTGCCAGAAGATGAGCCCACAGGTCAGAAGGCGCTCAAAATACGACTGGGGAAGAGCTGCTTCCTCAAAATAGACTTGACCTTAATGATATGGAAGGAGTGAAAGCTTTTGGGACCTCCATTTACTGATGTGGCATGACTCAAAATGAGAAGAAATGGCTGTAAACATCCATTAATAATACACAGTGGTTGCAACAATAGGCTTAGTTACAGCAAGGATTGTGAGGCTAGCACAGAACTGGGTAGTGTTTGGTTCTGTTGTACATGAGGTCGCTGTGAGTCAGAGGCAACTCAATAGCACCTAACAACAACTACAAGTGAGGGTGCGGGTTGATTTGAAAGATTAAAAGATGTAGAATTGACATTAGTTGGTGAGCAGTTGAATAAGGTGAGGGTGGGAAAGGGAACAAAGGAAGTTGAGGAGTTTAGGTTTTAGGATTAGACAACATGATGAAAGGTAGCAGCGTTCCTAATGAGATAGGAAGTAGAGCACAAGGAATAGAGAAAAGAAATGAGTTTGGTTTGGACTATACTAAGTTTGAATGTTTGTAGAATAATTACTAATACAAAAGTCCTTCCTTCCTTTGAACTCATTGAGGAGAGACTACTCTGAGTTAATAGAAATCTGAATCATAGATTTTATGTGAAAAAATTGTTTTTAAAGTAGGGCTAGCAAATAGCCTTTATATACCCCACAGAAACATTGTAATCATTCATCAAGACTCTTGCAGAATTTTTAATCATTTTGCAGACACCTGCAGAATTAGGTGCTGGTTCTGAATAAACATAACTGTGTTTCCTAAGAAACAAGATAAGTTCTTGAATAGGAATGTTTATGTTATTTTCAAAGGTTGAAAAATGATGTCCCTTTGTGTGTGTGTGTGACTTTCCATATTGATAATCTAAAAGTCAGATGTCTTGTGCTTTCTAATAGCTACCATGTGGTCTTTTAGTGATGATAATTGATGGTAATGAGATCAAAGCCAGAATAACAACTGACTACAGAAATGTAGTAGGAATCAGGAAATTCTGCTTCTGGCCTTGACTCAGTCAGTGGTTTTATGATTTTGGTCATATCTTTTGAGCACACTGTATCTCAGCTTCTGTATCTGTTAAACTAAGCTCATAATAACAGCCCTGGTCTATCTCACGGAAATGTTGCTTGGACAAATTAGATAAGTGTAAAAGTGCCTTGGAGGTAAAACCACTCTAGGAATAAAAATTAGTGTGCTGTAGCTACTGAAAAGTCCGTTGCAGAGACTAGAATGGTTAATCTCTGCAGAGCTCATGACTAGATAAGGCTGCATAGTGGATTTCAGTCAAGCAAACCAAAAACAACTTCATAGTTCATGAATGTATAGTATTTAATATGAAAAATCTCTTTACAAATATTTGTTGCCTTTATAACAATGTGATTAAAGATTGGTCATGTTTGAATTAAATAGAACCTTCTTCCAAGTAACTTCAAACAGTCCATAATACCTAGTTACAATTTTGAGGAGGGTGAGGATTTGATGTGTTTAATAGAATTGAGAAATCAGTATATGAAACAATGTGCAGGGATAAGAAATAGACTATTTTTTCAGGTAATAATTATTACTGTTTTTAGGCTGACATTACCAAATAGATTTTTCTTTTGTTTATTTTATAGAAATGTCAAACTCTGATCCTTCACCGAGCCTGATTGCTTCAGTTTATGTCACAGTCACTTTCTGTGACAGCTGACATACTCATTCTCAGTCCTGACTATCACACACTCACTCAGTGCAGCCTAAAAAACATTGGGTGGTAACCAAATCTCTGGAGGAAGAACAAAGGTGGAAAAATCCTTTCTTGAAAGAATCCTTTAAATGTGCTTATTCTGCTCCCATTTTCTGTTCACATAAATGCAGAGCATCCTTATGTAAATTTATAGCACCCATTTTCAGTCTTTGAGGAGAATTGAGCAAGTATTTAATTGATTAGAAACTACATAAAAAAGGCCCTATCAAGGCTAACTTTCAAAACTTTTATTCCTGAGCCAAATTTATCTCTTTTCTTCTGGCAGAGGACCATTCCTAGTGGCACTGGGAAAATCCTGGCACCCAGAAGAATTTAACTGTGCTCACTGCAAAAATACTATGGCCTACATTGGATTTGTAGAAGAAAAGGGAGCCCTGTATTGTGAGCTGTGTTATGAGAAATTCTTTGCTCCTGAATGTGGTCGATGCCAAAAGAAGATCCTTGGAGTAAGTATTGGAATGCTTTTCATTCTGAATGAGTTTTAAAACAGAATAATTTTTTGTTGTGACATTCTTTCATCATCTTTTCTTTTTATTTGCTTCTTGCTCTTTCCCCTCTCTGCTTTCCTCACTGTTTTGTTACTGTGAAGCAAACTAAATAGACTTCTTTAGAAGTATATCAGACTCATGGGTTTAGGTTGTCTTTGGTTTTGTCTGACTGAGTGCTAGCTTGTCTGGTGCAGGTCTGGCCACTGTGGGGGAAAAATAATTTACTATTAGTGTGCTACTTCAACAGGACCCTGTTTGCTCAGTAATGAAGATTTCGCCCAGGACCACACACATCAGAGTTCTCAGAACTGACACCTTTACTGTTTTAAATTAAATTCCATAGCTTTTTAAGAGCAGCATTTCCCCACTTGTCAGGGTTCAAGTGTAGGACACAGATCCCATGAAATATATAAAACATGAGACTTATAAATGATATGTTTTTCTTGAATATATATAATGTTTAAAAATATAACCTCAGTTTTATGGGAGTACACATGTGGTGGAAAAAGAATTTCAAAACCATGCTTTTTTTCTTTCTTTTTTTTTTTTTTTTTGCAGAAAGGGTAATTTAGAAATCAGATACACTAATAAATGATTATGAATAAATAAACTTCCTTCTTGGAATACCCAGTTTGCAATTACAAAGTTAGGATCGGTCTACCCCAGAGGGCCCAGGAGCTGGAATTTGATTTTAGAAGCAGCTAAGTTGCCAGACCTGATTTAAAAATTGGAAATGGATTTCTGAATTCTAATGGTCTCAGTATGAAAATGTAATAATGAAATTTTAATTCATATCAATGTAAAACAATGTTAACATGAATTATTGAATATTCTTAATTTTAGGGCATATCTTTAAGTAAGTCTAAAACATTGAGGATCCTTAAATTATAAATAAAGCAACTGAAATATTTTTGTATTATTAACTGGTAGTGATAATAGGATGTTTCAGCCTGGAGCTGTCCAAATGATGACAAATATTTATTAATACAAAACACAGGAATACTGTTTCAGTGTATGTTCTGTGGACTAGTAATTAATGAAATGATAAAACAAAAGCAAGTAAGAGATGATCTTCAAGCAAAACAACATTCTAGGAAATGGAAGTCTGATTGATACTCATTGCTTCAGAGATGGGCCAGAACTTCATTAAAAGGACAGACTCTCTGGATTTGTTTTAGTAGTTTGATGACCTATTAAAGAAGGAATAGTAATATGTCTCAAGGATGGAAAAGAATATTATACTGGAAACCTTTAAAAATGGATTTGGTTCAGTGTACTTTGTTGTAAATATCCATGGTGATCTTTTTGCATCTAATTGACTGTCAGTTCTTGACATTGTCCTTTCGTAGCTAACCGTGGCATCTTCTAATGCCAGAAATTCATTTTATATATTTTTATTTTGACAATATTTCATTGCAAATATTTTCACTGTAGGAAAATTAGAAAATGCATAAACCATAAAGAATAAAATTTAAATGATGGACACTGGTAGTGTCATGGTTAAGTACTCATCTGTACCTGAAAGGTCTGTGCTTAGAACTCACCAGCCACTTCATGGGAGAAAGATGTGGCAGTCTGCTTCCCTAAAGATTTGCAGCTTTGGAAACCCTATGGGGAAGTTCTGCTCTGTCTTACAGAGTTGCTATGAGTTGGAACAGCCTCGGATAATCACTCTTAACTTTATAATGAATTTTCCCCCAGTTCTTTTCTTTTTTAAAAAAAAACTTTCTCTGGGAATTGCAAGTAAGGGGGTAGCGAAGTGATATAAGAAAACAAAGCAGTTTAAGAATGGGCTTATTATGATGCTAGCTATTGCAGTGGTCTATTGG